GAGAAGGTGGCCACCTGCAAGGACGAGATCCTTCACCAGAAACCAAATCAACCAGCACTTCAGTCTGGGCCTTCCAGCCCCCAGAGCTGCGAGAAAATGAATTGCTGTGGTCCAAGCCACCCAGCATCTATGTTGTTACGGCACACGCCACCTGACCAGCCTCCGTTTTGGTTCTTCCCCCACACGAAGCCCACGCTCAGTGCTCAGCCAGGCTGTTCTCTACCCCCCGGATAAGACGTGTGATCTGTTCACGCCCAGAGCACTCCCATCCCTTTACGTTTCTCACTCCCCCGGCTCCCACCGGATGCTGCTTCCTGCAGGAACTCTCTCCCAACAATGCCTCTCCCAGTTCCAAACAGCCACTGTGGTTTTTGCTTTTCTTACAATGTGGACTTCTCGTCACCACTTTTCACAGCCCTACCGCATTTAGATCATACTCTCCTTGCAAACATGGACTGGCGTTGCCCCCAGTTCCCCATGCTGTGCCTCTGCACCCCAGGAGGGGCCCATGAAACACCTACCACGTTGAATTACCATCCCGACTGAATGGGCCTGAGGACTCCATGCCGACCAGGCAGGCATACTGACTCTCTCTCTCTTCCTTTTTTAACAGGCTTCCCATTATAATTTCAATAAACTAGCACCTTAAGAGAAAGAGAGAGCTTTTCCAAGAAGCCAAAACAAAGATGTACACTTGACCAAGAAACACAACTATCTTAGTAATAATAACAACAACACTTTTATATCGCACTTATGTGCCAGACATGGTTCGAAGTATTATATCTACGAATATATACAGGAAGAGAGGGGAAGAGGGAGGCAGAGAGGGAGAGAGATTGAGAGAGAACAGGAACAAGCTTCCATGGGGCCTGAGGACTCCGTGCCAACCAGGCAGGCAGGGGCAGGTCACCTGCTGCGTGCTCAGTGCTGGAAGAAGGTGGGTTACTAACACAGCGAGAATCCAGAGTCTAACGAGTTTAAACACCCAAGAAAGGATACCTTCCCTTCTCTTCAAAGGAAATTAAATATGAAGTCTGTTTGTCTAAATTACCCATGAGTCTGCTTAATTGGAGCAGCGACATTTTCCTGACTGACAGCCAGGTATGTGCTTAGAAGAGCATTGACGGATGCCTGCGGACTCCACAAAGCTAATCTGACAAAGGTCTGATTTAAATCAACCAGATCCAGAAAACTGATAGTTATGATTGAGATTTCATCTTTAACCTTAAATGTGGGCGAAAGCAGGATCATTCGAGTTTCTTCCTCACTGGGAAAAGATTTTAATGTTTTCCGAAGAAGGGAAAGAAAATCCTGAAAGGGAAATTTGAAAGCCGTGTAAAACTTCAGATAACCACTTCCCTAGGCCTCGGGTGGCTTCGGGCAGGTCTTCACCTGCACAGAGACGCTACCGACCGACACCTGGGAAGACACGAGACATCCGTGACTCGAGCTCCCCAACCCACACGCCACACCCGGCCCTTGGCAGAGGACGGTGCTCAGGAAAGAGGTTTTAATCATTCTTCACTTGTATCCAAATGTCAGTGGCTTGACGCGCCCACCGACCGAACTTACCACCTGCGGAGCCTCCCGTCCTCCGTGCCCACAGTAACTGCCACAAACCCACGTCAGCGCTAGCGTTCACCATAAGGCGCTTGCCAGATTCGGTGACAAAGAAATGCTGCCCTGCTACCCCCACGACGGCTCAAGGTATGGATACTGATAAGACACTGGTGTCTCCGAAACCCCAGAGAAAGAATGAGAAAGGCAGCAGAGGAAGGGCTCGAAGCTGACCACTGCAGTCAGAGCGCAAGGGCATGCGCTTGACCTTCACCAGGAACAGAAATATGTCAGTTTGAACAGGTCGCACAACTCCTCTTTGAGTCTCGACACGTGTGTCACCCCGATTATAGCCTGTCTTCTCTCGGCCCACCGCACCCACGGTGTTTCCTGGTTTCCGAGGCCGGCCCGCACCCTCCTTGCCGGGCACGCGCACTCTCTTACCGAGACAGCGAAGCCCGTCTCCTCGGTAGCCTTCCGAACACCGGCAGACGTAGCCACCGTTGGTGTTGACGCACTCGGAGGAGGCGGGAGGGCACACTGGGACACCCAGCTCACATTCGTCTATATCTGTGGGCAAAATTAGGAGCTGGTGAAATATTTAGGCAATCCTGGTATAAATGGGAACAGCAGGACAGAATAAGCATAATCCTGAGTGCAATCATTCAGCCCTCTGCAGGTACCGTTTGCAAACATAACGCAAAAATCCTGCACCTTGGATGCAAAGTTCACTCTGGAATCAACTTTCACAGCATCCGCCCCTGATTAGCTCAGTGTGCGTAAATAAATCACTTTGGCCAGACGTTCAGACTGTAACGACTGAGATCTTTCTTTCCAGTAATCGCTAATTTATAATTTTGAGGCCATCAATAAAAAATGGGAACCTATCCATTGCAATCTATTTATTTGACTAAAACACAGGACCTAAGCTTTGAGGAGTCAGAGGGAAGTTGTGTTTTCACTGGAATTAGCAAATTCATAAATTTGACTTGAATTCAAATTCATGCTTCTGAAGCTAATTATAAATTCTTCCCCTTAATGTCAACTGCATATACTGTATAATCTTACTATAAACTCAATGTATTATATGCTTATACTATAAGTAAATGTATTTATGTCTCATATTTTCTATGCAAGCCATGCATTTTCTTGAGCTAACGTGAATAGCTTATTCAAACCTGCTGATCATTACACAAATCCTTCTAGAGATTTTGAGTCCGTAAGAGCAGTAAGAATGTTTCTGGTTCACTATTGTCTAAATATGTGGATTTGGCCTTTGCTCTTACCGGAGCACAGTCTTCCATCCCCAGCAAATCCTTTCAAACACTGACACACGGCGTCCTCTCCCTCCGAAACACACCAGGCATGCGTGCTGCACCCCGCAGGAGCACAGGCGTCTCGATCTGCAAACGGTGAGAACCCCACGCGATTATTTCCAGACCTTAGAGAAGAAAATGGATTCTAACGCTTTGGATTCTACAGAACAGTCCGGCGCTCCCTTTCCCAAGTTCTGAGACAGGTTAATCTCCAAGTAGAAATACTTTGTTGACCTATAAGCTATCTCTACATGAAAAGATCCATGAGCCGTGTGTTTCTGTTTACATGCTCTTGACGAATTTTAAAGAACTATCTGGGATTCAAAGAGCCCTGTGTGAACTTACTCATAAATTTTTAAAAGCATTTGCAAGTTTGAACAATAGAATTGCTAGAGGTAAATAGATTCATATTTCAAAAGGTTTATTGCTTGTTTGAAAACTCCCAATCATTCTGACACACAAATGGAGTCAATCTAGTCTTATCCCCCAAAGACTAACAGGTACCAAGCAGATCTGTGCACCAACATGGCAACGAGATTCAATCATAAAAAGATTTATTGTCAATTTACTAATACCATATATAATAGCATATGCATGTCACAATGTGTGTTTATTATTAAGATTTATGCAGTGACTTGCAGACCTCAGGCACTTTTTACAAAGTCATGAACCATACAAGTTAATGCTGTCAATGGATTATTTCATTTCATACTCCATCGAAATGCAAATGCCCCAGGGAACAGAGTTTCATGTTGAGCCATAAACACGAGCAAGCTTTTTTCCCTTGCTTTAACTACTTATGTATGTCATCGTTCCCTAAATGCCACCCCTGAAACACATTTTTTTTGGAGTTGAGGGGATCTGACATACCACAGTCAGATATAAACCCTCATCTGTCTACTCACTGGTAAGTTTGCTCATCTGAGTGAAGAAGAGATAAAAGAAGTTTTCTAAACTTGCCCATAAATTAAAGAAGGTTAGATGATCGAAGCAGGATTCAGGTGCCGTGCAAATGCAGACATCGGGTAATCGCATTTGATTTGCTTAGCTGTTTGAGAGAGAAGATTCCTCTCGTGCGAACACATGCCCTTCACGCTTGCTTGGTCATCTCCCAGCACTCATGACTTTCAGATAAGTTCAGAACAGGTCAATTATCCATTTGATTCAGGATTTATTTGGAAGACGAGCTCCCAGATAAAAAATCTGCTCAGAGCGTAAAGTGGACAGTCTCCAAATACCCAAGACATTTTAAATCATTTGCAGAATTACCTTAAATTAGAACAGGATTCAGGATTTATCTGCTAATTTGCAAAGCCCCAGAGAGTTAAGCATAATGCTAAACAATAGTTATGCAGTTGTAAGAGGCATGGGCTAGAGCCAAGGTTCTTTCTGCTACAGACCAGCTCTGGACGGACTGCCTGTGCTCACGTTCCTCTTCCCTAACACATGGGTGACAACACCTGCCGGGTCTATTTCCCACAATGGTTGTAAAGACTAGAAAAAAGGTGATTTTTTTAAAAATATCCTTTGATCAAGAATTTTAAAATATTATACATATTTAAATAAGGATGTCAAAGAAGAAAGATACCATGACAATCTGAGTAAGAATTAACCTTAGCACACTAGAAGAGATTCCAGCAGGTCTTGTTAGTAAAATGAAGTTTTCAAGTTTTGGGGTTTTTTTTTGAGCTTTTTTGTTTTTTTAGCCACAGATGTTTTGTTAAAATAAAATGTTACTCAGTAATATAAACAAATAAGATGTTTCAGAATCAAGGGCAGTGACCTTGAGTACAGGGGTGGGGTTTGCAGAGCTGAGCTAAGCCCAGTTTGCGAACCCCTGGCCTCAGGAATGAATATAACATAAAAGACTTAGGTTCCCTAAAGTGGTTACATACTGAAAAAATTATTTGGCATTTCGGTGATAAATGTGCACAACAGAAGAAAAGAATTCTAATATTTGTCGTTCACGGACTTTCAGCAGCAGTTGAAGCAACCGACCTATATTTGCTTATCAATTACTATCAACTTTTCATACTAATGAAGTACAGCCAGATGGGCCACATACCAAGAATATAGGTATGGAGGAGGGCACACGGATCTGTTCTGCCCTGGTGGTTTTCACCTTTGTTTCCAATTTATAGTTCTTAAAAGAATATTCAGTCCAAAGACGCAACATGTGCCGTTCACGTCAAGTCTAATGCAGAGCCCTCTCTCTCAGGCACGCTACTCAGGAGGGAAGGAGGATTTGTCCAAGGTTTGGCTGTATCAGCCTTGTGTAGATTTAGCCAACATTAAGTTAGAGAGAGAATCAGAACTTCTCATCGGTAGAATGGAAATTGTTGGAACCAAAGCTGTATCGGAAAACTGGTTATTCATACCTGACACCATGATCTCAGCAACCAGCATGTACTGAGCTTCTGTAACGCTATCTTCTGACACCCTAGTCCTGGAGAAGGCATCCAGTGGTGTTACTTGGTCACTTACATCAGCTACGCCACCTAGTGAGGTCAACAGATGCAATTAATTTAGCTTTTCTGTTTCCAGGAAAGTTTGATTTCATTTATATTTATGGCTACTCATTGGTTGTGAGTTCAAACTCATTCTTACAGCAAGAGGATTTAGGGAAACTGGCAGGGTCTTGATGACTTAGGAAACCTCACCCCGATATCCCACAACTGCTCATTTCCACCCCGTGCACGTGAGGGCCTCGGGCGCAGGGAGCCAGAGGGGAAGAAAGATAGGACTCTTTTAGGTATTGGCAAAAAACAAAAGTAAAATACAAAAATCCTCATAAACACAATCCGCTCATAATTATAGCCCACCATTAGGTAAGGACAAAAGAGAGAGATGTTCTCCCCAACTTGTCTTCCATACACCCTCCTCCTTTAGGCTGCTTTCACACTTATTTTAGGCTGACTTTACCTGCATTCTAAAGTATGAAAGGGCGTAAACAGAGCATGACTTAATACAGACGTAAGATTCAGGCACTCTCCCCGTCCACTCCCAGAACATGGGAGAAATGGGTTCTCCAAGATGGCAGGGCTCTAAACCGTATTCCACAGCCCCCTGGGCTCCCACTACCCAGAACTATAAGTCAAATTTCTTTTTGAAATAATACCGTGATGTTATTTGCCTCTTTTCACTGTGTTCACATTCATACTCACGACAAAAGCAAAGGTGGGTACAACTGCTGGTGCCTTAGCAGTTTGCTGTCACCAAGGCAGTGACAGCAAACCCTACCAGCAACTATACTCTTCACTACTGTGTACCCACGTAAAAAAAAATCAGTTTCAGAAGAACATCGTGATAAAGCAATAAGAATTACTAATTTTTAAACTTCTCTACCATTGACTACATGGTTTTTTAACATGTTGTTTAATAAAATGGAAAATACACAGAAATGTTTTCAGTGCATACTGAAGTTACGGTTATCGGGAGGAGAAGCACCGCAGTGATTTTCGAACTGCGAGTTGAAACTTGCCTCTTTTTTTCATTCAACATGATTTTTACTTGAAAAAATGACTGACAAACTATGCTATTGAGATGTGGTATTTGGCAAATATTTTCTCAAAAAATGAAGTGAGCCTATTTCTTCAAGGAAAACAACTGGCAGTATTTGTTGCCACCATCAGATTCCACATGCAACTAAGCTTCAGGGAACTCCTGTCTGTCTAGTAGTTTCTGGCATAGTATCCAAAGAACAATATCCAAAAAAGACACCCCAAAAGGCTATTAAATAATTCTCCCTTTTCCATCCTTATGTCTGTGCGAGGCCAGAGTCCCTGGTTCGTTTGGTTTTTTTCTTGCAGAAAGAAGCAGAAAAACAGATTCTCTTAATATAGACTTTGACCAAAACGACACATAACAGATTTAAGATGGAAGTAGATATGAGAACCCAGCTTCCCTCTACTAAGCCAGACATTAAAGATATAAACGTAAAACAATGCCACTCTTTCCACAACATATTTTTTTGCTTTGGAAAACTACTTATTTCAGTTGTTCTTATAAAAAAGTGTGTTATGCTAATAGATAATGGATTTACTGTAATTGTTGTTCACTTTTATTTATTTATTTATTTTCTGAGACAGAGTCTCACTCTGTTACCCAGGCTGAATGAAGTACAGTGTGGCATGATCACAGCTCACTGTAACCTCAAACTCCTGGGCTCAAGTGATCCTCCCAGTTCAGCCTTCTGAGTAGCTGGGACTATAGGTGTAGGCCACTATGCGTGGCTAATTTTTTTAATTTTTGTAGAGTTGAGGTCTCGCTATGTTACCCAGGCTGGTCTTGAACTCCTGGCCTCAAGCGATCCTCCCGCCTTGGCCTCCCAAAGGGCTGGGATTACAGGCATAAGCCACTGTACCCAGATATTACTATAATTTTAACAGACATTTTGAAAGTTTTGTTTTAAGTTTTAATATCACAAATATTAATAGGTATAAACCACATAAAAACTCTTGGAGTTCTCAATAATTTATCAGAGTATAAAGGGGTCCTGAGACTAAGAGTTTTGAGAAACTGTTTACTTAAGGCAACAATTAATAGGAAGTTCTGAAAATTCAAAATATCCAATTCTGTCCATACATAGATCAATTCATTTATTTGTTGTCTGTCACCTAACATATTATACCAGGCCTACGAGATAAATATAAACTTCTAAAAAACATTTTAATAAAATTTAAATCATCTTTGGTATATTTTTGGTAGAAAGAGATCAAGAGATACATCCAAACATGCCTAAATTATTTGGGTACACATTCAAGGGAGCAAATCGGGACCACTGGTTACACATCACACTTGGTT